GGAAACTGAAGCGGGGATAGCCAGCGGCGAGGCAGGCCAGTGAGGAGGGAGTTGCAGTAGTCGAGTCGTGATTGATGATGAGGGAGTGGATGAGCTGTTTAGTGGTTTCTGGGGTTAGGAACGTGCGGATTTTGGCGATGTTGCGGAGGTGGAGTCTGCAACGAGTTTGTTAAAGATTGGACTTGGGGCTGGAAGGATAGGTTGGAGTCCAGAATGACACCAAGTACTCTGGCCTGCAGAGCGGGTTTGATATTGACGTTGTTGGATGTGATGTAGAAGTCAATGGGGGGTGGGGTTCGGGCTGGGGGGAAAGTCAAGGAGCTCGGTTTTGGAGAGATTTAGTTTAAGGAAGTGGAGCGACATCCAATCTGATATGTCGCTCAGTAGGTGTGTGATTTGGGCAGAGACCGAAGGGGTGAGGTGGGGGGTTGAGAGATAGATTTGTGTGTCGTCGGCATAGAGGTGGTAGTTGAAGCCGTGAGAGTGTATGAGTTGGCCAAGGGAGGAGGTGTAGATGGAGAAGAGAAGGGGCCCAAGGACAGAGCCTTGAGGGACCCCAACAGAGAGGGGGAGTGAGGGGGAGGTGGTAGCATTATAGGTAACGCTGAAAGAGCGTTGTGACAGGTAGGATGAGAGCCAGGGGAGAGCAGAATCTCTGAGGCCGAGGGAGTGTAGTATTTTGAGGAGGAGGGGGTGGTCAACTGTGTCGAAGGCCGCAGAGAGGTCAAGGAGTAGGAGCACTGAATAGTGGCCATTAGCTTTGGCGGTTAGAAGGTCGTTGGAGAGTTTGAGTAAGGCGGTTTCGGTGGAGTGTAGGGGGCGGAAGCCAGACTGTAGGGGATCGAGGAGGTTGTTGTCGTTGAGGTGAGAGCATAGGCGGGTGTAGACGAGACGCTCGAGGAGTTTAGATGTAAGTGGGAGCAGGGAGATGGGTCTGAGGTTGTTCGGGTCATTGGGGTCCAGGGAGGGCTTTTTAAGTATGGGGGTGATGTGTGCATGCTTCAGTGGGGAGGGAAAGTGCCGGAGGAGAGGGAGAGATTAAAGATGTGGGTGAGGGAGCGTAGGATGGAGGGGGAGGGAGGTCGTAGGAATTGTGAGGGGATAGGGTCGAGGGGGCAGGTGGTGAGGCGGGCATCAGAGAGGATCTTGGAGACTTCAATGGTAGTAAGGTCAAAGGTGTGGAGTGTTGGGGACTTCAGTATGAGGAAATGTAGGGTGGGGTGGGAGTGGAGGTCAGAGCAGTGGTGGGGAACAACGTGGGAGAGGGGTGATGAAGCCGAGTTGAGGGAGGGGGAATGGGGTCGGAGGGAGTTTGAGCAGTGACGAAGGGGTTTGAGGGCCCTGCTCCTTGGAGCTTAAAATCTAGGCGGGAGACTAAGTAATTTTTTGCTTGGGGATCAAATAATTAGTTTACTCACTGAAATGCAAGTTGATAATATTTGTATTGTGTTTTTTTCTGGATTTTTGGTTGATATTCTGTCTCTATCATTTAAAATACATGATAAAAAGTGATAGACCCTTTACTGCTTTGTAAGTGGGCAAAATTACAAAATCTGCAGGGGATCAAGTAATTATTTTCCCCACTGTACACCTTTTATTGTTTAGCTGTATACAGAACTCACCTCTGTCACATATGGAATCTTTTGTAGAATGTATTTATTTTTTGGACAGGTAAAAACTGTAAAAAAAAAGTTTTTATACTGTAACTCTTATAATATTTTAAGAGTCTATTTTTAGGGCTATTAAATTATCCATGCTGCATACTAAATACATATTCAAAATTTTAAAAGAGCATACACTTTGAAACAAATATTGGGTCATTGGATTTTAGGGTTACTGGGTTTTCATAAATTAAGAGGAAATTTTAGCATTTTTCTACTTGATGGACAATTTCACCTTTAGTGAAGTTGTCTTTAAATACAAGCGTAAAGCCTGCCCGCCTCCCTGAGTACAGGTAGCCTGGGCTTATATACTTACCTTCAGCCCCCTTCTGGCTCTTCTTCATTCTGAACATGTGTCGAGAGGCCCCATTCATTTCTCTGGGTAGCTGTACTTATGGTGGCCTCCAGCAGTTGCTTGGAGTATGGTTTTTCACAGAGGAATTAACAGGCTGCTGTGCACATGTGCCAAATGAGATGAAGCTGGACAGGTTCAGGAGTCAGCTGGGCAAATGATGATGGTACAGATCACTGGATCTGGTCTGAAAGTAGCGCTGACTGAACAAAAAATTCTGATTCCTCCATCCATGCTCTACAACCCAGATGGATGAAGCCTCCTGTCGGACTATCGTATTCTGCCAGCCAGCTGCCACTGCCAGCTGAATAGATGACAATTTTTAGCCCAGCTCCTTAGATTTTTCAAGCAAAGGATGTCCAACGGGTGGGGGTTGACAGGACAAACCATTAAGAGAATTTCAGCCTTGTAAACAAGAATGGTAAGAATTTAAACAATATATGGCCAGCTTCAGTATAAGCCAAGCTGCCTGCCTGAATAGGGAACACAAAGGTTGGCTTACCTGTTTTTCACCTGGTCCGGTCGGTTGCTGCACAGAAAAGGAGGGTGTGCCAACAACAGCTGAGCCATGGGAGTCTATAGGTGGCATCATGCCTCCAGGAATTCATAGCGGTTGTCAAGCACTTTCTTATATAGGGGAGCTGGAGCTGCAGGATCACATAACCAGATCAGCAAGTGCACATTAAGAAAGGGGTTATGCAGGGTTGGTAGGGGGAGGAGGGAGGGAACATTGTTAAGAATAGTTAGTGTTAGGCTTTTCTTCCACATCTGGAATCTGGGAAGGTTTTTTAGGCAAATAAAAGTAAAAATAAAAAGCATCGATATTTGTTTCTTTATTTATCATGTTATGCTATTTAAATAGGAATACTGTATGTACCAAAAATCTGGTTTCTGTTATCCCAGTTTAACTGTAAAAGTGGAAATACACTTTAAGCGTAGGTTAACTGGATATTCTCTAAATTGTCCCTAGTATGCGTATGTATGAATGTAAGTTAGGGACCTGAGATTGTACGCCCCTTGAGGGTAAGGGACTGATGTGAATGTGCAATATATATATGTAAAGCGCTGCGTAAATTGACGGCGCTATATAAGTACCTATAATAAATAAATAAGCGCAAAACAAGAATATCTACAGAAAGTTCTAATCGTCATAAAATATTCTCAAATGCAGGTTGACATCTCACAAAACAAAAAAATTACCAATGATTAAACCAAGAACTAAAGCAGCTCTAAAAAGTAAAAACTGTTCTGGCCCCAAAGTGGATAAGAGAAAGCACAGTTTAAAGCAGAAATACAAGTGAAACTTTGGGAATCTGTTAAAGTTGACTGGTGAACACATCTCAAAGTTAACAGCTTCTGTGTCAGGTATCACTTGGCCCTTCCAAACAGTAATTAAGTGCTAATGTGTTTTGAATCAACAAGCCACAAATACAATGGATATTTTTTCTCCATCTGGTGGACATCAAAGGATTTTTATTTAACAAGGCAGAGAGTGTCAACTGATAGGCTCTTGGAGGTAACATGTGTGGTCCACCTAGGTTTTTTGGACTGACTCAGAAAATGAAACTGATTTAATAGCCTGTTGGACTAGAGTAGTTAAACAGCTGACCTGATACAAATTTTTTTTCACAGATATTTCAGTTATATGACCAACCCATGGCAAAATCATCTATATGCACCAGTCGTTGTCAACTTGCAGGGTAAAAGGGGCCTCAGATGCAGCCCCAAATGTCTCCAAAGGGCCACATACAATATTTATGGCAGGTAATGCTCCAGAAAACTGTCACAGACTGAAGACTTACTAGAAGGGGTCAGAGATTAATCTACGGGAGTAGTTGGAGACGTCATGCTATAGGAGACCACCAGAGACTAAGGATATGTTTCATGACACCACTAGGCTTTACTTTCTATTAAGAGCTCCTCTTTTCAAATCAATGCTCCCTCTACTGACTGCTAGGGCTCATGGTCCACACCTCAAACAGCAAAGGGCCACATGCGGCCCTCAGGCCACAGGTTAAGCACCAGGGACATGCACTTTTGAATCTACAGTCAAGCCCATTCTTGACATCTGTAAGATGTCACAGAGTCATGCGACTTCATCAGGGGATTGAACTGTACAACTGTGTGATATCTTAATTCAAAGCAGTATTGCCTCCTGAAAGCCTGCAGGCCGCTGCTGTGCCTCTCTCTGGAAGGCAATTTATCATGGATCATTTTTCAGAGGGTAGTAAGCTCCACCGAACATGTGAAAGAGCCCTTAAGCTTTCATAAGTTAGGAAATACATTTTTCACCATTCAGGTGTGCGGTGACTCATTCATATTCTTGGTATTTATCAGACTGAAGATGAACCAGGCCAACAACTGGCTAAAGTAGATGTGAGTGAGAGATGAGATCTACGTGGAGCTGCTTAGCCTAGTGAACATGCTGAGAAAAACGGCTGGAAAAAACGCTTTAGAAGCAACTGTCTGATAATCCGATTGTTAGTACACAGCTTTCGAGAGCCTGTCATGAGAGTTCATGTGCAAATATCCGAAGAGACAAATTGTCTGCTCACTTCGCAGGGACAGATTTTTTTCTCATTAGATATCAGAACAAATGATTTTCATGTAATTGGTGTAGTGTTTGTATGAAAAAAAATGATTACCAAGACTGTGCATGCTCAGAAACCAAAGAACACATTACATTACATTACTTACAAAGTTGTATTCTGTCTTAAGAATTTGTGTAACTTTAGTAACCTATTCGTTTTCGATATGAGACTAGCATGGGAAAAAAAACAAAAAATCATTTGTGCAATATTCTCATCATGTGTACAAGGCCTTAGGCTGGCCATACATGATTTATTTTTTTTTTGCATTCAACCAGCAGGTTGAACGAATTAAAACAAATTGATTCCCCCATCCACACATATGAGGTGGATGGGGGATCCCTCTCTCAGAGCTATTTTATTCTAAAAGCGGGGAGCCTTCTCCACTGTCAGAATACACTCATTAGCTGATCATCAACTGACAAAAACAAAAGTTTTCCAACTGGCTGGTTGTACAGAAGTCGAATGAGAAATTGATTTCTGTACAACCAGCCTGTCCATTATTATTATTACTATACAGGATTTTTATAGCGCCAACAGTTTGCGCAGCGCTTTACAAAATGAAGGCAGACATTACAGTTACAATACAATTTGGTACAAGAGGAAACAGAGGGCCCTGCTCGTTAGAGCTTACAATATACCTGACCATAGATGGAACTATATTCGACTTGTCCTTGCTGAACCCGCCAAATTTCTTCCCATCTATGGCCGGCTTTATTTCATTGTGTATTTAGCAGCATCCTTGGCATGCCGCCATAAAGTGGTTCTAAAGGCTCAAGGTTTTTTGCCATCATGCAATCTACGCATGATGGTAAAAACCTTCTGTGTGCAGCACCCCCCCTTTCCAGCCCCCTCAATCCTTACCCGAGCCCCCTTCAATTCAGCGATGTGCACAATAGCCTCGGCTTTATGGGGACTCTCCCTCCTCATTGTCTGAGACAGAAGCGGAAGCCCATTGGCTCCCTCTGCTGTCAAAGCCAGTAAGCCAATGAGGAGTGAGCAGGGGAGGGCTAGCTGTGGCTCTATGTGTCTTATGGATGCATAGAGCAGCATCTCAGGAGCGAGCGTGCAGCAGTGCTCCCAGGGCAAGCAGCTTTCTCTGGGGGCACTGCTCAAGGGGGAGGAGCCGGAGCGCTTGCAGTGGACCCAAAAAAAAGAGGACTGCTCTGGGCAAAATTACTGCACAGAGCAGGTAAGTATGACATGGTTATTATTTTATTTACCGAAACAAAAAAGCTTTAGTATCACTTTTAAAGCAGCCTTTCACAACCAGGGTGCCCAGGCACCCTGGGGTGCCTTCAGGCTTCATCAGGGGTGCCTTGGCAAAATTCCCAAAAATTGCATACAAGCCAGCAGGTGGATCAATCCTTTAGCACACAAAAACATAGGTTTTTATTGTGCACTTTTATGACCTTCTAGCTGCCAGCATCCTAACAACTAATGAAATCATCAGTTAATAAGGAGGATGTTGGTGCATGCACATCATCCTTGTCTGGCCCTGCCCCTCTCCGGTAGCACTGGGGTCACATTATCAGAGTGAGAGAGAAAATGAGAGAGACACAATAAAATACTAGTCAGTACCAGTGTGCAAAGGTGTATTTACTTTGGAAGAATAAATCACCTCTAACGTTGGGTGTACCGGATGGGTGTAGAATAGTTTTTTACATTTTAGATTGGGGTGTCTTGAGATTACCCATAATTTTAAAGGGTGCCTTGATTGAAAAAAGGTTGAGAAACACTGCTTTAAGGCATTGTACAGAGACACCCTCCTTCTGCCTCTCTGACATTTCATTTTTGTAAAAATTTAGAAGAAGGCTTGAATAAAACATTTGAAAATCAGAACACACTTTATTGCTAAGCACTGAGTACCTGTCTTCATAACCTCCTGAAAAAGATGGATGTCCTCTCGCTTTAGTGGTTTTTCTGCTTCACACTTTCCATGTTTCTCTGTGGAGTTTTCCCTCCACCTCCTCTGCTTTTATCCTAAGAAAACATGTTTATAGAAATGCTGGAGGGCCATGAACCTGGGGAGCCAATTCTGCAATCTCACCTGCTGCTCTGTAGAGAGGAATATACCGAGAGTGATTTATGAATGGTGAATGGGCCTCGCTTGACCTCAAACCCTTTATAAATCTTTTCTAATGCCCGTTTATAACATCTCTGAAGATCTGCTCGGGTGCGCTGAGCTACCAGCTTTGGAGAAAACTGCACAGATTTATGTTCTTACGGAAATATTGCCCTTATTCTGGATTATGGAACTAGTGTGGACAAGGAATTTAAGAGGATAGTGAAGACAGCAGCACAAAACTCAACAAGTAACTAAGGCATTTTATATACAGGAGCGGTCAACTACAAAGTTAAATGAAGGTCTCATGTGTAAAAACATCACAGAACAGGCAATATAAAGCAATAGAAAAATGACTTTTTTAGGCCTCATGCACACAGGATGTTTTAAAAACGCTGCTCCTTATGGCCGCATTTTGGGAAAAAAAAAAAACTGCTTGATGCTTGTAAAAGTGTCTAATGCTTTTACAATCGTTTAGGCACATTTACAGGTGTCAAGCGATTGGGAATTAATTCATTTAATTGGCCAGAATAATAATCTATTCTGGCCACTGAAATGAAGTAACACTCAAGCGCTAAACGTACCTAGCGTTAACATGTTTTTAAACGTGTTTAGGCGCGTTTGCACAAGTCAAGCGTTTTTTTCTGCCAAAACACTGCTGCTCCTGCACACACCGGCAGTGGGGTTTTTTTACAGCTCCTAAAAGCCCCTGCCACTAAAAGCTTTTAAAAGGCTATGTGTGCATGGACACATAGGATAACATGGAAGCTGTGAAAGAAAAATTCTGACACCCCCAAAAAGTGGCTGCAAAGACGCCCTGTGTGCATGAGGCCTTTAGGACCTTTTCTTGACTTACTTATCCCAAGTCAGCAACTCAGAAAGTAGTGAAACCAGAGATGATTACCATAACAGTTAAAGGGGTTTATTTAAAAGGCAAATAGACTGTGTCAGGGGCGGACTGACAACTCATGGGGCCCCCGGGCAATAGGGGATCATGGGGCCCCTGTGTCCTTGCCCAAACTCAAAAAAGCCTATGAAAAAGGTACCAGGGGCATCTCATGGGGCTGTTTTTTTTTTTATTTTCATTGCATGTGATTGGGTATTCTTGGCAAAGTGAAGCTTCGCCTCATTTAAGCTCTGAAGCAAATGCCCTTGCAGAGTGCAACAGCACTTGCAAAGTGCACAGTCAATTTAGTAAATCAACCCAAAAGCAAAAATATCACATATTGCCGCTTACTAGTTCTTGGTGTGGTTGCTGCATTCGTTTTCTTTTTCTTGTGTGTGCATCACTTGCTGATAATGCAAATAACACACTTCGTGGATAATTTACTAAAACGGGAGCATGCAAAATCTGGTACATCTCTGCATAGAAACCAACTTCCAGGTTTTTTTTTTCAAATCTTAATCGGACAAGTTGAAGTTAGAAGCTGATTGGCTGCCATGCAGAGCTGCACCAGATTCTGAGTTCTCCAGTTTTAGTAAATCTCCCCCTTTCATCTCCCTGGATGGCTACTTCACTCCTCCACTGTATCTATGGAGGAAACCATGATTGTTACCCTAGGTGGTTCTCTAAATATGAACTCCAAACATGCGTGTATCTCTTCATCTTTATTACAGCTGGGGGCAGGGCAATTGGTAGTTTACAGAAGATAGCTACGAAGGGAGATATTCTTCAGTGCATCTCACAGAAAATGACAAGAACACTCAGCTAAAGAAGCCCACTTGTGTCTTTTATAAAATGTTTACTTTAAACACAGGGAATTAAAAAATGTCTACAGCAGGGTAAGTTTAGAGTATAATTAAAAGCTTAAGTTTAATAAAAAATAAAAAAAATCACAAAGGATGTTACTTACATGTAATGAGAAGTGTCCCTTGTATTGATACTAATCCCTTGTGCCGGTGTTGTCCTTATTAAAATAGTCCATCCTCTGACCCCAAAAGTGGAAATTATCTGGTGCTGCTAAAAAAAATCCCCTGGACCTGTCATAGGCACTTGTCAAGAGTAATGACTATACCCACCTTTCTGCCCCACATTCTCCACTCATAGAAAATGTACCATAGCTTCCATCAATGAAAAGTGCTCTATGAATGGAAGATGGGCATTTGAATGAAAGGTCCACCACCTCCATTCATAGAGTTGTTTTCATTGTGGGAAGTACATTTTCTATGAATGGAGAATGGGGAGGGGAGGAATGGTGTGGGTATTGTCAGCACTCTTGACAAGTGCCTATGACAGGTCCATCAGCTGTATTAACCTCCGCGGCACTGGAGGATTACCGCTTCGGGGATGTGTGTGTGTGTGGGGGGGGGGCAGAGGATGGAAGATTTATTTCTCTCATAAATTTTATTTAAAGCACTAGTCTGAGCCCAGGATCTTCCTCCCCTAAGGACTCCCTTTCCCCCATAGGGCAACCTCTGTTACCCTTAAGAAAAGCAAAGCTGCTTGAAGCTTGCTGGAAGCTTAACAAATGCTTTGCAAAAGGTTGTTCTACAAGCTGCTTTAAAACAAGCTGAAATCTGTGTGAGCAAGACTGTTGTGTTGACTGTTATAGAATATCACTGGAACAAGAAATGAAGAAAAATCCCCAGAAAGGACACAATTTAAAAACCTGATGGAGGATCAAATCTTGCTAATGTTAGCCAAGTCTTGGCTGGAATTGAGTCTTAATTTTAGTGTTTTTTCCCAATCATTCCTTTTATCTTTCAGCTACAACATTTGTACCATACATCAAAAGATTTGTAAAGTAAAGTTGCATATACTCCCCCCACCTTTGCTGTGCTATAGGAGAAGAATGACAATGGCATAGTTGCCAATATTTGGAATTAATTGGAAGGGACACCTAGCTTTCATGTAGGATTCTATGGCTTCCTGACTTGGTCTTGTGTGGCTTGTAGTGTCTCACCTTTACTCCTATGCTATGCTACATTTTAGTCAAAATAGAGTCTGGGTGTAAAATTAGAGTAAAATGAGTCTCATTGTTGATGTCAAGAGGAGTAAAATAAATCCTGGATCCTGTGGAATAGAAGCTATGGCAATATGGTGGCTGCATGGATAAGGAAGGAGCTGTGGCATTAAGCCACAGGCCTCTACCTCCACGCAGCCACCAAAGAACTACAGACCTCCTTCCACCCATTCCCCCACATTTCTATTTGGCTCTGAGGAAGAGACAAGTCCTTGAATTGCGTCAGACTTTTGGAGGTCCAGAGTTCCCATTATGGACAGACACGTAGTACGGATTGGACAGAGCTGTTCTTTCAAAATGTGCCTTTGACTGTATTGTCAGTTTGTGAGTACAATCCCTACTTTTATTATTTAATAAATATATTTTTTAAGGCAATGCACTAGGCCGGTGCACCCTCTGTTTGTT